TTTTTTGGAGAGGATGATGTAGCTGAAAAACTTCGACCTGCCAATTATACTCAGCATTCTCTTTAAGAATATGTGTGAATGCCACAAAACGAGATATATATAAATTCTAAAATTGATAAAAATTTATTATTATAATAGAGACATGCAGGAATAGTTCATTCTACATAGTAAAGATTATACATATCTACATAGTTTCTCTCGAAAATACACTTACTAGATGTCCAAGGAAAATCATCTGATCATCAACGATGCAAAGTTTGTAAATGAGGTATATGAGTGCTGAGAAAAGATACAATATTCTTTGCAACGTAAATCGAGTCATTAGAGCCATAATGAGGACTAGGAATACTGAATTCAGCACATTGAACAGAGCTCAATAAAAAATAACAGAAAATTAAAAATCCTTTAAAGTTAATTGCCTTGAATAATTTGATACTTGCATTGAAATAGAATGAAACTAGGCGTCCACAAAGCTCGAACTATTCAATCTCGGTCAGACTCATTTTGGGATCTGACTGAACCCAAGTCAAACTAATGCTAAGTCTAACAAAGTTCAAACCCGACCAAGTCTAAACTGTTCAGTCTAGGTTCAGCTCGATGCAAACCTACGATATAACGAATAACTAATATAAAAATGAAAATTATTTAAAACTTTTTTTTATTCTTTACATAATATCGAAGTCTTCACTAAAATACTATGGTCATTTTCTAATTATTCTTTTTGTTTTTAAATTCTTGTATTTTAGAATACTATTTCTTATTATCTTTCCTATTTTTACTTATCAACAAATAAGAATAACAAGGCTTTATTTCATTCTTATTCTTGAAAACATATACACGATGATCAGTTTTCAATAATCCATGTGACCAAATCAATTATAAAAACAAAACTATTTTTTGTTAAATTTCAAGTAAGACAACAAATGTAATAGATATTTAAGTTGAACTGGCGTTGAAATGAAATGAGCACATACTTTTGTACGTACTTTATTTAGGTTCATTGATTGTACTAACAACTTTCTAAAAAGATTAATTTCTTTTTGTAAGTTAATTTATTTATATATTTCAAGTAAAAAAATAAAAACTTATTCTAAATAATATTTTCTAAAGACAAAATAAATAAATATAAGTGATACTTTATATAACATAATTATTTGTTTGATTTTTACAAAGAGTATTAAATATATTTCATGAAAATAAAAAAAATATTTCATTACAGTTGATCTTCGCCCAATACATATGTGTTGGAATGAAGACAGAAACGACTCTTGATAAGATTCTGATAGTTTATTTTATCACAACCTTCGAAATGCTTTTTCAATGGATAGTCGTATCTTCCGTTTCAGAAATGATATAAAAGATCTTTCAACATCGTCGTACGGTAATATGAATATGAATTGATTCTACTAGGATTTATCAAAGAATTCATTTAGCAACAACAATCAATTTAAGTTTCAACTTTTGAATCTCAAAAACACTCCGATTCTATTTTAATATGCGTGTGAGTTGTAGGCTTAAATGGAGGAAAGCCAAAGGTCAGTAACAGCCATAATCAACTTCAATATTTATACTTTACAGTGTGTAAGTTAATTATGGTGAGATTGTACCTATGGTCAGGAACATGAATGTTGACTTTGAAAATCATAAACGGTATGTTTGAGACCAACAACATAGAAGAAAATCATAAAGGGTAGGTGTGAATTCTATTGTTTCATCCTTAAGACTAAAAACTGATGAAGTTTTTCAGTTCGACATTTCTTGACTTCACGGCAAAGACTTCTTTTTTTTTATTGATAGAAAATCTATGGAGTACAACGAATTCGATGAAAATAACAGTAATCAGTGAGATACGATGAATCGATCTAACCAAAATTTGACGTTACTTATTCTACGCTTAGTGTGCATTGAATAGTTTTGTATTATTTTTGAAGAAAATCCTAATCCTAATAATAAAATTCATTTGGTATGAGTTACTATTCTTAAAAAAAAAATTAAGAACTGTTTATTAAAATTCATGCATACAATTTTTATATAAGCATGCATTGAACAAATATATTTCGAACAGTTAATATTAAATGTGTAAGATAATATTAATCAAGGTAAAATGCACTAATACATATGAATTACATGATATAAGCAAAACTCCAAATCAAGTCTTGTCACATTTCGAAGTTGAATATCACTATCAACATCTCTATAACATTCTATATAATAAAAAAAAAACAATGAATATATTTTCTCATAATAAAATACAAGTTTTTCTAAAATCTTTCATGAATTTAATTGCATATAAAGTATATATTGTTGGAAATATTTTGTAGGATATGATTGTTCTTTTCGCTAAGCACATAATCATACTCTTCCTTTTTTATCAAAACACAATCTGAAAGAACTCCTGAAAAATAGAAACAAAAATTATGTTAGAATAATAGGTGGGTCAGAATGAATAGTACTAACTGTTTTTATTTATTTTTTTGTTCGTCTCATTTTGCTAAAAATATTTATTTAGATATTAAAAAGGATGCAAATCTGTTCAGTCCATTAACTGTGATTTGTGATTTTCGACTGACATTTAATAATTTTTAAAAGCTTTTCCGACAAAATCATGTAATTATTATAGTGAGTAGTGACAAATGTAGGCTATTTTAAGACTTAAAAAGAAACTATGATCTAGATTCATCAGAAAAACAGCTTTTTCTCTGTTTTCGTATGTTTTTCTTAGAAACTGTTCTTTTTTTTCACAAATCGGCAAAGAATAAAATCTTAACCTGTATAAAATTTAATATGAGAAATATTAGGATATATTTCATTTAGTCGCTCAAGAAATAAGTAAAGAGATGGATGCAAACCAATCGAAATATCTTGAATATGTGGCCAAATAAAAATATTTGTCTCAAAACTAAAAGAAAAAGTTATCTTAAAAAGTTATATATATTCTTGTACAACAGATTATCTTACTGTAATTCATTCATAAATTCAAAATTGATGAGATTTCAAAGGAATTTATTATTTTTTCAATGTTCCTCGACAATAATTTATATATGAAGATGAAGTTTAAATTTTTGGATGTGATTTAAATTATTAAGTATCCATTTCATACAGGAGAATTCGAAATCATTATGGGCGAGAACTCTTAAAGTCAAATAATGCAATTTTGGTACCTAGAGTTAGTAGAAAAATAAAAAGACACAAGAAAATAATTCTTTGAATAAATTGTTCCTATTAGAAATCAATTTTCTCTAAAGTTGAGGATGTGGGCGTAGACGAGAGTGTAGTGAATATCAAAGTACACACACTATCACTCTAATCAAAATATTGCGTTTGAAATTCTCTACAAAATCATACATGATTGGAACCAAAGACTGTTTTACAAATATGTTGAAAAAGTGAAGATTATGGATGGACAAAAAAGCTGTAAAAATTCAATATGAAGATTTTTATGCATCAGCGAAATTTTATCATGATTTGTCCGCCATAGTTTCATTACAAACCATTAAATTCTGAACAAAAGATGAGTTACATATATATCACTTTTTGGATGAATGAATATCTGATCACTTTATTGAAGAAAACAGCAAGTATATATATAGGAGAGACAATAGACGGCCTAGAGAAGAAGTCGAGAAACAACGTCCGGCTGTGTAGAAAATGAAGAATATGACAATGGCTATTCTTACTCAACAAAGACGTCAGTTAGGAAAAGTGAGTAAGTCAAAAAAGAGCATACATGTAACAGATGAATAGAAAAAGAAAAGAACAAGAACATATGTACAATAGTTGGACTGAAGAGGGCAGAAGTGAAACACTATGTAACAAGATGATCAACAACACTATCTCTATACAGTTGTTACACTGTTTCCGATCGTTCAGGCTCAGTTCAAACAAAACTGACTCTCTAAAAAATCAAATGGCATCTGCTCTTCAAGAAATAGCTATCAATAAGAAAACTATGTATTGAAACAAAATGTACATCGTTTGCTATCATATGAGAATCTTAGCTTTTTTCCATATAAGAAGATCAAAAAGTCAACCTAAAGTGATCTGCTTAAAGAGTACGATAATGTTGCAAACTGAATGCTAACAGAATTTGTTAATTTAATGTTCTGCAAAAAGACTAGAAAAAGAAAATAGTTTAAGATTCGTACTTGTTTTCAATGCAAAATCGCATCCAATGCAAAAAACAATGAAGGAACTTGTCTTTAGAGAGAGGGTGTGGGCTTGGGTGGGTGTGAGTCTGGGTCTGCGAGAAGAACAGACACCCAAACCCGCACCCACACCCAGCATGATGTTGTATTTGTGCCTATTGAACTTCGAATTTAAATAAAATAATCATAAAGAGAAAATAATAATCATAATGAAATACGACTTGTACATATAACTCAAGTAAAAACGAAACAAAATCGGGTGTGGGTGTGGATGTAGATGTGGGTGTGGGTGCGGATCTGCGAGAAGAAGAGACACCAACACCCACACCCACACCCACACCCATCCACACCCACATCCACCCACACCATCCACACCCACACCCACACCCACACCCTTTTTTTATATATGTTTTTATATTTTAGCCATTGACTAATGAAGAAGTAGATAATAGGGGTAAGTTATCTTTTTTTTTTTCTTCATCGTTTAATATTTTTTTTCTTTTCCTTTTAGTTATCAACATCATTCAACATCGACGAGTAAGTTTTTTTTTCTTTTGTTTTTTTCAGATGAGACAAGTTAGAGTGAGTGAGGTACGTTGAGCTTAGGGTTTCGCTTTATAAGAAGGACTTCCGGGTAGTCCCTAAAAGCTCAGCCAGGAACTGTCTTGGTGTCCGTGGCACACGATCGAGCCCGCAGACTCACTGACATATGACATCGGATGGGTGCATGTGGATGAAGTGGGTCTTCCCGCGCGTGCAAATAGAATAGCTATGAATTCATTTTTTCATTCAATCGCGATTTATTTGTAAGAGAAAGAGAACAAAAAAAAAATAGATTTAATCATCGTATTGAGTTCATGCGATATTAAATTTTTGTACTCGATGATTGTCCCTATCAACGACATAGAGATTGCCATGTTGATCGAATGATAAATCTGCGGGACCATTGAGTTGATTCGACTGTGCTCCTTGACCGTTTCCACCAATAATGACACTTCCTTGTGTGGCTCCTTTTGGCCAACGAATGATTCGATGATTGGAAGAATCAGTCACATAGACAGTACCCAATTGATCGACAACGACTCCATAAGGATGATTCAATTGTGTAAGACTATTTCCTTCTCCTTGACCACCGGCTACAACAATGCCTTGTTTTGCACCTTGTTCCCATTTCATTACACGATGATTGTCACGATCAGACACATAAACTGAATGATCTCGATCGACAAATACGTAGCGAGGAACAGAGAGTTGATCGAGACGATTTCCTTTTCCATTGCCACCTGCAACTACTGTTCCTTGAGTATCACCAATTTCATATCGTCTCACTTCATAATTTCCACTGTCAACGACATAGAGAGAACCATTGTCGTCCATTATCAAACCCAAACAAGTGATATTCGAAATAATTGTTTCTCCACGAGTACCATTTCGACGAGGCCATCGAACTACTCTGTTATTCTTTCTATCGCTGATGATGAGACTATCGCTCTCTTTGTCGATAATCACATCAAATGGGTTGACTAATTGATGAGCTCCATCTCCTTTTCTATTTCCACCAGCAACTACTTTTCCATTCGTTGCACCAGATTTCCATTCCACAATACGGTGTTTCCCATAATCAGTGACATAAATCGTTTGATCATCGTCGACGTACAAACCCAATGGCCAATAGAGTTGATTTGTTTCCCTGCCTCGTCCATTTCCTCCAGCAACAGTGATACCATTCTGTGCCCATGTTGCATTCGGATGAATATCAATGGAACTTGCACGTAGTGGTACTAAAATGAAACAAAAGTATGAAGTAAAAATAAACATCAATGTCATTAAAATGACTCATTCTCATTTGTTTTAAACAGTATTGAACTGCTCTCAATTACAAAAGCTTTTTACTTATGAACTTGTTTAGAATCTGATTTTCTCGATGTTGAAAACAAAATATTGTTGATTTTTTTTCAAATATTTTGCTTAGTTTTACTAAAACTAACTAAAATTTAACTGGTAATGTGAAAAATTGCCATGAACTCGAATTTTATGGTGAATGAAATTTTCTTTTATATCAAATTTTTCCAACATATTCACTGATTTTGTTAGTTCGAGTTTTGAAATATATTTAGATTTTGTGTCATCAATTTAAAAATCATTTGATTTTTTTGTTTGAAATTTACAATAAAATGAGTTATATAGAATTTGTACGTAAATAAAAATAATCGAATTAATTCAAATAGATCTTTGAAACGTAGCGTACGATGCAAACGTAATGGTACGAAATGTTTATTCTTATTTCTCTTCGAGAGACATGTGCTGAAACAAAAGTTTTTTTTATCAAAAGGTAGAACTTTTTCTCCTCTTTCGAACAGTATATAATTTATGTTCGTGACACATTTCTGAGTGAAATGAGACAAAGAGGAAAGACAAACACTGGCACAATAAATTTGCAACTTTTATATGAATTTGTCAAAAACATCTTGCTAGACAATAATTCATTTGATCTTTCCGTACTCATTAAAAAGCTCTTGTAAAACTGTAGTTACTTCACGTGTTATAAACTCGTGAAAACAGCTTGTAAAACGATAGTTAATTATACTTAACTACCATCCATAAGACGTTTTTGACTGATTCATATAAAAATTGCAAATATTTTGTGCAAGTATTTTTCTTTCTTATTCGTCTCATTTCTTTTACGAATGTATGACAAATATAGATCATACACCATTCAAAAGTATTTTGTGCCATTAATTTGGTATCATACGTTAAGTATTGTCGTATTATTAAGTAGAATTCCTTTCGATGTATGAAATAATTTTACAGTACAATAGTTGTTATCACCTAATTCATCATCATAATTTTCTATCCATAATTCGATCGATCACTTAAATAGGATTGGGTGTAGGTGTGGATGTGTGGGGTGTGGATGTGGGTGTGTGGAGTGTGGGTGTGGGTGTGTGTGTGGATGTGGATGTGGGTGGCTGTGGGGTGTGGGTGTGGGTGTTCCTGAAGCATACTCATACTCACACCCACACCCACACCCACACCTACACCCACACCCACACCCACACCCACACCTACACCCACACCCACACCCACACCCACACCCACACCCACACTCACACCCACACCTACACCCACACCCACACATACACCTACACCCACACCTACACCCACACCCACACCTACACCCTTTGGTTTTATTCATGAATCTCAAACAAACAAGTAAATATTGAACCAATCTATTGAATTTAAACAGAACTGAACAATAGATTAATTGTTTTTAAGTGTTTGTAGAAAAACAAATCAAAGTGCTAAATAAGATAAGCTTAGATAAAAAATACGTAAGTTCGAATTTTAGTAGATGAAAAGAACTCAAAAACAAATCTCTCTCACTTAAGTTTCAACGATGAATGAACTGTTGTATACAGTTAAAATATATGTGCATATTATTGAACTCTCAAAGTTAAATTCGTTTTTTCAGATCAGAAAAGTTTTTGTTCGAATGAATAATTCGTATATCATTTTAAAGAAGAAATCACAAGAAAGCATATCTAAATTCTCTTTCATTTTGTCTTCGATTTCGTTGATGTCTTTGTTAGAAAAAGAAAATTTCTGTCAATATAGACTCGAGCCATTGAAAAAATATCAATAATTTATGTAAGTAAGTTCAAGAATATTTGAAGAATCTGTCATGTTCATTATTTACATTGTAGCACAAACAATGATCTATATACGAATCATCAAATCTTTTATTGTGAATTCATTTCTAATGTATTACAAATTTTCAACTTAATAGGGTGTGGGTGTATGGAACACGGTTTTTTAAACAATAGCAGATAAAATGATGGTTGTGTTAAGAGAAAGTTACATACACGGTCGAAAGGAGGCGATGATACAATGACAGAACGAAAAAGATGCGCTCCTCGTGGGACTCGAACCCACACCTTCTGCTATCCGGGCAGATGTCCTAAGCCAGTTAGACTAGAAGAGACGATGTTATTTTCTTTTTCGTCTTAGATCGTCATTCTATGTGCACGACCTAACAGAGAACCAAATCAAGTATTGTAAGTTAGATCAGCGAAGAATGTTAACACGAGTAAAGAAAACTTTCTAAATAAATTAATGCTGTCAACTTTTGATCACAGATTGATTTAGAACTTTCTACAATTAAGTATTTTCGCTTCTTTACAAGACAATACGAATCTCCTATCGAAACCTTGATCTAAATCTTTGCAAGTTTGTGTTTTGTAAGTTATTCAATAGGTATAAAATTTTTGAGAATTCTCACAAAAAAAGACGATCGTAAAGATTTTATCACGATTTTAGCTATTTTTTTTCAACTTCTTAATCAAAACTACTTAGTCTTTAACTCATAACATGAATCTCAATAGCAATAAGTGTGAAGATTTCTTCTTCAAATTTTTATTGTATCGCATTCTGAACTGGTTAAATCCTACTCTCTAAAAAAAAAGGAGTTTTGCAGAACCTTTTTTGGGGTTCTGCTAGTGGGTACTCCACAGAACCCCTAAAAAAGGTTCTGCCTGAAAAACGTTCCGTAGTAAATTAGCGAAACCATTTCTGATTTTTTATTAAAAATGGTTCTGCCTCAAACAGGGTTCGGCACTCAATTAACGAAACCCTTTCTGCTTTTTTGTTAAAAATGGTTCTGTCATACGTATAAGGTGTTACACCTTTTAAATGCTCCACCCCTCTTCTATATCCTTATACTATATCCTTATTCTATAACCTTATTCTATATCCTTACCGCTATAACCTTATTCTATGCCCTTACAACTATATCCTTATTCTATACCCTTACAACTATACCCTTATTCTATTTCCTTATTCTATATCCTTATACTATAACCTTATTCTATATCCTTATACTATAACCTTATTCTATATCCTTACCACTGTAACCTTATTCTATGCCCTTACAACGATATCCTTATTCTATATCCTTTACTCTATACCCTTATTCTATATCCTTATTCTATACCCTTATTATATATCCATATTCTATAGCCTTATTCTATATCCTTACCACTATAACCTTATTCTATGCCCTTACTCTATAAACTTATTCTATAACCTTATTCCATGCCCTTACAACTATATCTTTATTCTATATCCTTATTCTATACCCTTACAACTATACCCTTAGACTATATCCTTATTCTATACCCTTATTCTATGCCCTTACAACTATACCCTTATTCTATACCCTCACAACTATAACCTTATTCTATAT